AAAAAACTTCGACAACAACAGCAACAAGGAATACAGCTGCACCACGAAGGACTGCAATAGGGGAGTACTGCGGTTGCCTGCTGCAGCAAGGTTTCCAGCGGAATAAGCAAGCAGCTATACTGTGACATACAGATAGATACAGATAGATACACATGGGAATACTTGTATTACTAAACTAAAGGAAGGACATCCACACTGAACCATTAGTCTTTTGAACTACTAAAGCTAGCTAATATCTTGAGTTTCCTATCAAACATCATGGAAGCAACTGAGCTATTTTGGCTTGGCGGACGAAAGCAAGCACAATACCTTTGGATGCACAAGTGTCACCAAAACATCCAACTGGGAGAGACGAAGACAACCGGGAACTGGAAGACCTGGTGGGGAGTCAGACGCTGGCTGCGCAAGAAAACAGGCACAGTACTCAGTACAGCATTATGGAACGTAGGTCCTCACAGTGTCAAGGATGTGGACATGGCAAGAAACGGGGCATCGTCGTTCGACGACCAACCTGAGATTGCTAACCAACGGCCGGGTTGGGATAAGAGATCGCAGACTGCGCAGAGGCACAAGCAAGCTGCCACAATGAAGCACCGCCATTTCTTGAGGGAAGGAAGGCTGAACAAACGGATCGAAGACATCGGAGAAGGTAACCGTTGCCGGCCAAAGATGACCACCAACTACTACTGCCTGAAAAGGCAACCGCACCGTTGACGTTGAGCTACTATTGGTTATTACTAAAGACTGGGATCACAGAAGTGTTGAGTTGCACAGGGTTACCATCATTTGCAAGGACATGCTCGGCTCAAAACAGGGTGCAGCTGTGGTCTAATAAGGGCTTGGCATGACATCACGGGAAGGAACCGCCAACACACCAAGAGACAGTGAGCATCACAGCGGCACCATCAAGCGACCGGACATTGCTCTGATCAATAGAGGGTGCAGCTGTGGTCTACGTCCGAGGAACTGTACTAAAATAGCGGTATGTACGGCAGCATCAGGAGCAAAATGCACATCTGACCTTTCAAAACTTGAAATCAAGTTGTTTCCGCGATCATTTGGATTTAACAAGTCCAACGATCAGTCATTTTCACATTTGTTTCATTCATTTGATCAAACGTTACTTTTGTGACCAATAATCATAAAATTGATCGAAAAAGGTTTCCAACAACTGAGCAAAAGCAGACAGCCGCGACCAGCCACTTCGACCAAAGCGTTCTCTTCCTCATTCATCTTATTGTCTTGCCGGATATCTCCCGTTAGATAGTAGCAACAGCTCGCTCCTTCCAGTTTAGAAGCACCATGGGAATCTTCAGTTTGAGTGCAAGTGGTCGGCTGGATCTCACTGCCATGCTAGTGTTCAGCCTGGGTCTAATTGGTATAATTAGTCTAGTCAAGAAGGCCCATGCCAACGAGGCCGATGAAGACGAAGTGGTGGCCAACACTGCCTTTGTCATTTGGTTGGTGACGACCATTCTGAGTTGTATCATGTGCGAAGGTATCTATCTCTTTCGTGCGGGACGTTGTCTTTTCATAGTATGGATGGCACTAGCAATCTACTTTTTGGCGACAGAAGAGCACTTTGCAGTGGCAGTCGCATGCGGAGGCATTGTTACCGGAATCGTATTGATTAATCTGGGCATTTACTCGGCAGAAGACGAGGCTAGAGCAGAACCCAATAAGGACTACGTATTCAACTATCAAGATGGGGCCATGCAACCGAGAAGAAATCACCGATACGAACTGGCCGTAGTAGAGGACAAGGGAGATGATCCGCTAGGGACAGATCCCACCACGGCCACCACGGAAGAAGAGGCAGAGATTCGGGCGACGGGTGCGGATATTATCTAACCAGCTAGCCTCAATCTACAACAGAGAGAGCAGGGCCGTATACATGGATTTGGAGAAACGAGGTTCTTTGTAGTGGCCCATTTGAAAAACCTCCAATAAACCCACGAGTCCTACTCTGGCAGCCGGAAAACCTACGAGTCAATCCTTCATTCATGTCGCGGTTGATCTGACATGATTTGGTTGAGAACATCAGCAAATATTGCGATCTCTACTCCTTATTAGCTTTCATAATCACTGTTCATTACCTTTTAAAATAAAACCAGGCCTTCGACGAAAACGACCGTGCATTCTTCCCTAGTTCTTTCATCATAGGATTCAATGAAAAAGGAAGAAATGCATCATTGATAATTCACGCCACTGGATGCCTAATCACTGGGTATTCTCGCACCTCGTGACGCTGACCTACCGGTACAGGCTACTGGTAGCGCGCTGTGCCATTCGGTGGACCTGATAGGACGTTCAGATTTGTCAGTGATGAGCATGCAGGTCTGCGGCAAACTTTGCATCCTCGAGGCTCCAAGCGGCCATGCACGCCGCGACTTCACGGATAGGATTTACCCTCGACGAACGGCACAAAATGCGGTAGGTGGTATAGCTTGACCAGCAGGCTCCCTCTGCTGATTATGATCTCCTCAGGTGCACTTTTACAGGGATAGGTGCGTTCCTGGAGTAGACCTTTCCCCGGAAACAAGTGAACGGAATGAGTCCACAGTCGACGGTACGACATGGTTACCGGTTGGAACAATAGACTCGTTGGTCGCTGCTGCAAACCTTAGCTCGCTCCTCGTACCGGTATCGTAGCTAGCTGCCTTTCCGCAAAAGGGACCGATAATGTTCCTCTCTCCTTTCCCGCAAACTTGGCACATCATTTGCAATGGAAACTTTGGTTTGCAACACTCCGCCTCCGCACGTATGTGACAAAAGTGCACAAGACCCGAGATGTGGTGACATGTCTTCTTTATGGAGTAACTCATGTAGAGACTGACAGCAAGCCCGGAAAAGGGGTTGCCTGTGTGAAGAGTGTCCCACTTTGCCGCCAACAATGGCACCAACTACATATCATGTACCTGGCTGCAGGGGGGCCTGAACCAACTGCATCATCACCCTCATTGGTGCCCCGTTTGCAACTCTGCGAGCCAATTGAATTCCAAGTCGGACATATGGTTCTACGTGACACGCAACATGTGAGCCTCTTGGCCCTTCCCCACAATCTCTTGTAGGGCTCAGATTGATGGTGGAAGCGTTGGACTTCGATACATGTACCGGTATGACGAGAGGAGGAGTTAAGAATTGTGTCGTCTTGGAGAAGCAAATGCTTGCAATCACCTCAAGGGAGATGCACATGCCCTTGCCAACTTTGTTTTCTCTAATGATCTTGACCAGGCCATGGGCAGTCGACCTTATACTAGTAGGCAACACATCCAGCCAGCTTTATCTGGTAAACCTAGACTATAGCAAACATGATCTCACCTTGGAGATAGCAATGGGAACAGACCGTACCTTCTAACAGCCCACCCAGACAGCTTGGCAGTTGGGGTTGTGTGTCCAGAGTGACTCAGTCGGCAGACGAGACTCCCCCGGCCCCGACTCTTGACAAGACAAGGCACCTCTTTCTTCTGTCGCACTTCTGCGGAAAAAAAACATCCATCCTACGGTGTAAGCTTCCGTGTCTCTTAATCTAGCCAATCATGAGAACGGCTGGTTATGTCCGTCGTCTGCGGTCCATGCAAATAAATCCGTACTACGGCTGTAAGCTTCCAGTTCAGCCAATGATGCTGCAGCCAGCTTTGAAGGATAAGCCTTTCTCCAGGAAGGCACCAGGTTTAACGTTGAACTTGACTTTCATTTTTCAGAGTCGCGGTAGTCGCGGTGTCGTGAAAGTCGCGCACCGCGACTATAGAACGACGATAAAAGTCGCGAAAGTCGCGCACCGCGACTTTAGAACGACTATAAAAGTCGCGATAGTCGCGCACCGCGACTTAACAACGACTTCTCCGTGTTATTTACTAGTAATGCACCGCGACTTTAGAACGACTATAAAAGTCGCGATAGTCGCGCATCGCGACTTTATAACGACTATAAAAGTCGCGATAGTCGCGCACCGCGACTTAGCAACGACTATTTACCGGGACTATCGCGACTACCGCGACTTTGAAGAGTTTTTTGTGTATCCTCGCTGAAACCTGGTGCCTTCCAGGTGATGTCAGAGACTGGGAGCCAACGCACGGCTGTGCAGCGTGTACCGGTACCAGTAGTTTTTAGCCTCTTTTAAAATCGAGGAACTACTGGTACTGGTACCTTCCGCCAGAGTGGCAAACCACAACAAGAGTGAGATAGAGGGTGCTGGATGAGACATGGGACGCACAAAAAATGCACAGGCCTATCTAGTCCATCTATCTCTCCTTTTGATGTTTCATAATTTGTGGATCAGTGCCTGTATTACTGAGTCAAGCAGCAAGACAAGATGATGGCTGATACAATGAAGAGCTCTGAGGACAAAGGTGATCATGCTACCGAAAGCATTCCTAGGTCTGCAGCAGCAAAAGAATCTGAAGAGGCTATTGATACCGCGGGAGATACCGCTAAGCTAATAGTTGGCACCGGAATTGGGACCAACAGGCCCCCTCCTTACGTGCAAGAGAATGGCATGGAAGCAACTGCCGATACTAATGTCGGTATCGGTGACCCTCCTCTGGCAGAACTTGTCCCACCTCTCCTTCTTCCACATGTGGCATCAAACACTCAGGTGGGTGCAGTCTCCATCCAAGACGGCAACCAGAGTTTATTGCAGCCAGGAGAGTTATCTGCGGCTGTGGGACAACAGAACTTACAGAGCCCTTCATTATCGGGTGCTACCGGTACCAATGTGCACATTAATAATGATACTGAAACCCTAGTGGAAGCCACGTTGGTCCCTGAAGAAAGTGTTCCGGGTATCCCTCAGGAACAGTCTCCTCCGGGTACCGGTACTACTGATAGCACTGGTACAGGTACCCTCCTGGTAGAGGCGGAACCATTGGGCTTTCATCTGAGCACACGTACAAGTCGATATGTCCTTATATTTGGGTTGTTGCTCTGTGCAGCTGTCGGTGCTGGCATTGCAGCAGCAGCAGTAACTGTCAATTCCAATTCTGACCAGGCCATACCTGAACCAACAATAATTGCCAACACCTCCGCCACTACTAATGAGCCCACCACAGCAACAGCCAACAACACCAAAACGGATGTGACTCTTCCACCACCACACCTGTCGACTTTGGCCCGCATCAGACAACGAGGGGTGCTTCGTTGCGGAGTGGCACTGGAAGTAGTCATGCGAGGATTCCACCGTGAAGAGGGCGAGGAGAATATGATGGATACCGAAATGTGTCGATCCTTTGCCGCGGCTGCCCTGGGCCGGGATGCTTACAAGATTCGTATCGTGCAAGTACCCTTTGATCAACGGTCTCAAGCCCTCCAGGATGGACAAGTGGATATGATGCACAATGCCTTTGGGTTGACCATGGATCGAGAAGTGTATGACTATAGCATTGGAGCCGGGATCAAGTTTGCCACACCGCATACATTCATTACATCTGGCTTTGGAGGCCTACAAGACATGGTGGCTTGTGCCGACCACGGTTTGCGGCATATTCAGGAATGTGCCGACTTGAGAGTTTGTGTCCTGCAAGGAACACGACAAATGGATACGTTGGCTCTGCAGTTGCCTCGCAACAATATTGTCGAGGTGGATTCGTATAACACAGCCTTTGAACAATTCGTCAATGGCACGTGCAATGTGGTCTTGGTAGCATCCATTCTGCACTTCAATGCCGTTATGCGAGAGCACAACTACACCGGAGAGTTCTACCCTTCTCCTGGCGTGTTCCTCACGGAACCCTTGGCACCGGCCACGAGAGCTGACGACCCAGAATGGTCCGATTTTGTTGATATCGTCAAACTGTCGTGGTTTACGGCCGAACGGTACGGGATCACTAGGGACAATGTGGATGATGAGGCCGCAATTCACAAATTCAAACGACCGCTGGTAGTCGGGGCAGAATTCCAGAACATGCTGTACGATGCCATTGCTGTTACAGGGAACTATGGGGAAATGTACGATCGGAGAATCATATCAGAGCTGTATCCGCGAATGGTGTATCATTATGGCGTGAACGAGTCCTGTAATGGATTTCTCGTGTCTCGTCCTTTTGGACGCCAGGAGGTAACGGGACCTCCTCCACGGAGTAATGGCACAATGGCAGGGATCATCAGACGGGGAAGACTGCGGTGTGGAGTTGGTGTGTCATCATCTGTGCCTGCAGTAGAGAAACAACAAGAACTTGCCGACGGGCTTGTGGGTCTTCAGGGGATGGACGTGGAATTCTGTAAAGCGGTAGCCTCCGGTCTTCTGGGTTCTTCCGAGACGTTGGAGGTAGTAAAGGTTACAAATGACACAAACGGCTTTTCCCTGCTGCAAGACGGACAAATCGACATTCTTGCGGGTGCTCCGTGGAACATTGAAACTGAAGTAAGAGAGCCCACCACTGGCGTTGGATTCTCGTTTTCTCAGCCCTACTTCTACAATACCCCTGTTGTGGACATCGTTGGAAGGTACGCATGCTTGAACTGTTGTCCGTTCTCGATCATGAAATATCACGCTGACTTAAAGTGCTCCTCCCCAGCAACATGCTATCCAACCGTTGCCTGGCCACTCGGCAATCCGATCATGAATGGGCAACGGCAGTGAAATGGATTGTGGAAGCCATTATCTTTGCTGAAGAAAATGGAATCACAAAGGAGACATCCAACAAAATGCCTACTGTCTCTCTGTACGGAATTGAACTCAGTCGCATATTTCGCGATGCTGTGAACGATGTTGGCAACTTTGCCGATATCTGGAACCGCACTGTCCCAGACACCATTCCAAGAGAAGGAAGGAACCTGCTTTTTGACGGAGCGAACCCGTCTCCTTTGATTCCAATCATACCAGGGTTGCTGGAATACTAGCCAGTCATAGTGAAGAAGATGCCACCTCCGGGAGAGCCACTCCAAGGAGAGTCGGGAGGATTCCTGCTACCAATTATGGCGTTACTGGCTTGTTCGGGGACATTGGTGCTTTGAGGTTTGCGTCTTGATGTGCCCGTCACAATTGATCTTGATCAGGCTCTCAGTGGTTAGCTAGCATTTGCCTGTAATAGTAGCATCACATATTGTTGATCTCCATGAAGCCTGATAAGTTGACTGTTCGCAGCATCTGTGTCTGCCTGCCCCATCGAAGCTGCGGAGATGACGAAAGACCGAGCGCAGAGATCCTTTAATGTCATCTTGGTGCCCCCCATCCAACACCCGCCAACCGTGTTGCGAAAGACTACGAGGCTAGCTCACGTCGTCACAAAAGCAAGCACGTCATCGCAAGCGCTCTCCGAGATACTTGGTTTGAAATGCGGTCACCAAGTCGTCGAGGACATCCTTCCAAAATTGGTTCAAGACTTGATCTTGATGCTGATTGGATCGTCCACCCTTCTTGTTTTCCGTGACCAGAGGCCTTCGCAGGTTCACTCCTGCCGAAAACTTCCAAATGATTCGTTGGAGGAGGCTTTCGGCACTACATTCCATCTTGTCGGCTATTTGCTGAACCGCCGTTCGGAGTTGCGAGTCTTGCAACAATGTCGGAATGATGTTGCTGCAATGAAAGTCCACTCCTTGTCGGCAAATATCTGGCAAACACAACCGTTCCAAAAAGATGTCGGTCGATGCTAGACGCGTCGTGGAAGCTGCCACGGCCTTTTCGTGCATTCGTTTGGGAACGTCTAACCAAGTGGCGTCGTCGCCTTCCTGCTGCAATCGATCATGCCATGTTTGTGCATACAGATAGAGCATGCGCACATCGCACGACATGCCACCGTACTTGGCTCGCACTAGCATGGCCCAAATAGCAAGTTGTAGCTGTTTTTGTGACGATTGCTGATCCTGTGGTTGCTGCTTTGTCACCACCGGGTCTGTTCCATCATTTTGTTTGTCAGCCTTGCTCGTCGTGTTGGTGTCCGATTCCGTAGACTTGTCGATGTCTGTTGTCACCTCGCGCACAACAAGGAATGGGTTGGACAAGGAGGGCTTCGTGGAGTTGTTGATTGGTGTCTGTCCTTGATCTGCCGAGGGTGATGATGCTTCGTCGTCCGGGTCTTGGTGCGAAGAGAGATGATCCTGTACGGGACACGACGCCACTTCATAGACAATACGCAAGAGTCGCAACTGGAGTGCCCGAATCACGTTCCAGCGACTATTGGTGGACGCGGGAGTATTGTCGCCCTCTGATGTTGTATCGATATCAAAGAAGCCCTTGCTATGGGCGACCATGGCCCAAATAAGCAAGGGATAATCTGGATGCAAAGTAGAGTCTTCCAATACGATAATGGGCAATCGTCTGAGGAATTCGCCCAGTGCCTTATCCATGAGTTCCATGGCGACGCGGACACTGGGTAGTGGTCGTCGTCTACGAATGGATTTTTGTAGAATGGATTTGAGTACGGGTACCGAAAGTCGGGAATGTTTTCGAACCCATCGATGATCGTCTTGTGTGGCATTGGCAGGAATGCCATTGGAAGTGACGGATACCGTCAAGGCAATGGTAGTGTGTGGATCGGTTTCCTTGTCCTTGAGTTTCGAGTCACACGACCAAAGAGGTGGTGGTTCCTGCTGTGGATGGTTGTTATCATTGTCGATTACCTGTAGGTTCCAAGAGAATTCTAAGGAATCCTTATTGTTGGGGTCATAGTGGAGTGTCAAGTGCTGTTGTACTTGTTTGGTGCTGTTTGCGGAAGCGAAAACTTTGCTGGATTGTTGCATCATGTGGGCAAATACGTTAGTTTGTTTCTTATCGTCGGTGGCACTATTGGGTGACGGCGTTGATTCTTGCTGTTGCCTTTGGTGTTCTTGAGTGACAGTCTGTTGATCAATGGGAGGGAGTGGTGTTGGTTGTGGTTGTGAATTTTCAGGTGAAACAATGGATGAAGCATGGAGCATTAACAAGGCATGTCCCACATCCAGGTTGTTGTGATCTTCAATAGTAGTTTTGCTGGTCATTGCAGAATCAGTGTTTTGATGGGCCTCTGTACTACTAGACAGATTGGGCGTGCAAGACTCTTCTGCTTTGTCAGAATCCTCATCTTGTTCCGTCTTGATTGGACTATCTATACATGTATGCATAGATTGTGCTTCTTGTTTCATGACGATTGGATCAGGTTCTTCATTTTCTTGTTGACTTGGCTCCTGAAATTCTGGTTCAGGTTCTCCCTTTTCTTCTTCAGTTTGTGAACTTTGTGACGGCTCAGGCTGTTGCTTAGCTTGCAATCGTTGCTGCTTCATGACTGTACATTGAAAATCCAAATGGCGATTGATGGAATGTTCCAGATTGGCCACATGGCGACCACAGCCTAAAGGACACTCCACAAACCCAATGCCACTACTGGTACTGCCACTACTAGTACTGGATCTACTAGTACTAGTTGTCCTTGGTTTCTTCTTCTTGGAAGGACTCACACTTCTGTTGCTGCTGCTCTTTCTAGCAGAGCCACTACCAGTACCAGTACTACTGGAGCTTCGTTTCTTCTTACTAGGGGAACGAGCGGAACTCTGCATCAGAACATTGAACGCATTCTTCTTGAAGGGACTTCCAGTACTAGTACTAATAGTACTGCTGGGAGTGGTAGCAGTAGTAGTGGACAGCTGGCGGCTCCCACTGCGGTTCGTTTTGGAGGCAGACGAAGGAGACGACATGGCTTGCTTATAATATCATTGCCTGAACGGAGCATACATGTGTGTGTAATCCTACACTCCAAGCTAGCAAAGACATCCATGCAACACCCTCATCTTTGTGGGGTATGAAATGAGGCAACGAGGCAACGGGAAGAACTCAGTAAATAAATAATTAAAATGGTTCGGGACTGGTCTTCGTCGTCAATCCCACAGCATTGCAAGGTCCCCTCATTTTTGGCCAGATAGCTATCAGTTGCTTTGACCTGCAGGGACACTGTCCATGATTAGCATTTGCTAGCTAGCTATAGCTATAGAAGAGCCATCCACATGCAGGATGCTAGAATCACTACTTTGCCTCGACCTTATCCAGCAGATTCCAAATCTGTGTCATGCCATTGTTCGAGTCTGGTGTGATGAAACGGCTGCAATAGCTTGTTTCAACAGCTACAGCCAAAAAGCTTCCATAGATTATGGCAACCGTCAGCACAGGATCATCAGGGCACTCATCAGGTGCTTTCTCCATTCCTATAATCCAATGCAATCTGTTGTCATTGGTAACTGCCTCTCTGACCTAGCAAGCAGGAGCCCACAACCAAGCCCACAACACAGGAGACCCACCACCCAACAAATACAACACATCAACGAAAACCATCATATGATCTTCTTTGGGGATCCCAAGTCCAAGATCCACAGACCAGAATGGGCCACGCCCAAGGCTGCCCCCTGGCCGCTACTGCCTCTGTCGTCTGCCTTTGCCTCCTACTGTCCAAGCTTCTCACCCTCCTATAACAAAAAGCTACCCTCCGACTTACCAACGGTGACACAGGCGATGATGGCATTGGCTCCTATGCGACTGTCTCCGCCTACGTTGATGACGCCAACAACTTCATCCTCTCCCCAGACATTGTCCCTTTCCTTGATACTTTCCAGACCGAAGGTAAACCCCTAGGCCTCCAGCTGAACTACTCCAAAACCAAACTACTCACCAGCACTTCAGGCACCCCCTCCACAGACCCCCATGTCCAGGCTGCCATTCTCTTCATCCAAGACCAAGCAGGCTCCCTTGTCAACCCAGAAATCACCACTTGCGTGCGATTCCTTGGCGTGCGATTCCTTGGCCAACCCCTTGGCTCCAAGGCCTTTGCTGACCAATACCTCACCCAAGCTGCCACCAAATACACCACCAACTTCTCCAAGCTGTGGGCCAGCACCACAGACTTGCACACCAAGTGCCTCCTCTTTCACTCTTGCGCCCTGCCTTCCATCCAACATGCCAAGCCCGATCCCTCTATTCCTCCGGCTCATCCCCATCCTTAGTACTTGCCGGTCCATATTTGCCTACGTCACCCCCTGAACCCTTGGATCCCTTTCCCTACTTTCTACAAGCGGACGTTACCTAGTGACGTTCCTTTCACGTAATCCCCTTTATAGTTATTTATTTACTGCTTGGAGATTGCTTGAGAGGTGAGTGAACCAGCTAATTCTATACTCTCCAACATGTCTTGTGTTCATTATCTTATAGCTAGGCATCAAAATCAGTACCTTCAACATACGTTCAGACAGAAATAGCTACAACTTTCATCCATGCAGCTCTT